GTTGGAGGCCATCGCTATTAGGTTGGAGTCCATCGCTATTAGGTTGGAGTCCATCGCTATTACCCTGCAGCTCATCTATTAGGTTGGAGTCCATCGCTATTAAGCTGGAGTCCATTGCTATTAGGTTGGAGTCCATCGCTATTAGGTTGGAGGCCATCCCTCTTAGGGGGGGAGGCCATCGCTATTAGGTTTCGCTGTTGGGTTGGAGGCCATCGCTATTACGGTGGAGGCCATCGCTAACAGGCTGGAGGCCATCGCTAACAGGCTGGAGGTTGGAGGCCATCGCTCTTAGGTCAGAGGCCATCGCTCTTAGGTTGGAGTCCATCGTTATTAGGTTGGAGGCCTTTGCCATTAGGTTGGAGGCCATCGCCATTAGGTTGGAGTCCATCGCTATTAGGTTGGAGTCCATCGCTATTAGGTTGGAGGCCATCGCTATAGGTTGGAGGTTGGAGGCCATCGCTCTTCGGGTGGGGGGCCGCCATGTAGTTGCTGCCCACTGAGAAGTGCACGAAGCCATAAGGCATGGATCTGAAATCGTCACATTCAGTCTGCCTGGATGTTTGTGCTCCCTCCGTGGTGTTTGTCAGCTTTACAAGATCGCATTTAGTTCTGTCAGTCCGGCAATAGATTTAAAGGTGTAACGGCACACAAAAAAATGCACTACAGTAAATGGTAGATGTGTTTGAACCAAGTCAAGCACATCCAAACATAATTTGATAGAACAGTTGAAAGCATTTGCCCAGTACTGTAGCTGGCCTGCGAAATAATGCCTCGTTCACCTCAAAATACTCTCCTCCCATACAGACCGGGCAGCAAAGATGAATGACTTTGATACCTCACAAGCTGATCAGCTGCGAATGTCGCCAGCAATTGTCCTCCTCGTTCATACTCTTTTGGCGCTTCTGCGGGCAGCGTAAAAAGGACCTCAAATTCACATGTGTCCTGGCGAGGCTCGTCATGTTCTAGTCAAGTTGAACAAGGCAACAGGTTTGGCGAGAGTGAGACCCCAAACACTGTCAAAAACTTCAAGGACTAGCTTTTGTGCTCTCTCTTTTCTATTCCGAAGCTATCGCAGGCCCACCAAACTTCCTTGGTTCACAAGAGTGCAAAATTGTGTCCATTACTTTCCACGTTTTGACAAAGTTTGAGTGCAAAGCTGAAGTCTCAAGAGATATGCTTCCTGTTGGACGGTATAAGGCCGGCCCTAGTGAAAAGCTCCCAAGCTTCCCGACCCAATCAATCGTGGGATGCTCACGCCGTCCCAGGCGCCCAGGATGTGCAGAAGCGGGGTGTGTAACCTGCAGGATTCGGCCAAAATGCATGGCAATGGCGAGCTCCATAAGCATCTTGTTTATATGACCAAACATTAACGTTGCAAGATTGAAGTCTTCAAATGCACTGTGGGCTCCTCTATTGTGCTCTTTTGGAGTTCTGAAAGCTTGAGGCCAAAAAAGGTTTAAACACGCATGTAGCTTGGCATCGGGCACAGCACAGGAAAACTCCGCCTGCAACGACTCAGCACCTGTCGTAAAGGAAGGTTGAGTTGGCCGGTTGCAAGCACCAGGGTTTCAACTTTGTCTTGCTGAAGTTCTTCCTTCAAAAACGAGTCAAAAACCAAACCAATGTAATCAATGCCCTTTGCAGCTTCTGACCCGGCACCGTAGCAAGCCATCCATGCACCCCAGCCAATGCCAACAACACCAATCCTGCAGCAAAGTAGAAACAACTGAGCAAAGGCCAGTTTGGAGCATGCTTTTGAGTTTCCTTCAACCCCTAGACCCATCTGTGTATCTGGACACATTGATATGTTCCTGATTGCACCAGCAGTGCGACGTACAAAGTTGGCCGCAATCTTGAATTTCATGAGAAAGAATTCGTAGGTCTCAGCAATCCGAGCCATGCAACGGCAGAACTCTATTGATTCTGTAGTTGTTTTCAAGGCTTCATGTGAAAAACAGGAAGTAGAAGAGTTGTGAGCTCAAGTGTTGTTAAGTGAGCCAATCAAGTGAGCTAATCAGTCACTATCCAAACTCTCAAGAAATGCACCCTCCAAACACATTCCTGTTCTGGACTACCTTGGACTGAGATCTGAGACATCCTTCATCAGCCAACTACGCAGGCTCATCCTAAGTGAAAAGATTGCGTCTGAAAGTACCTGAAGATTAGGAGCAAGGACGCTACTAGGGGCTCCTGGCCTTACTACTAGGAGCAAGGACGCTACTAGGGGTTGTGTCATCACCCCTGGCAGAGGTTGAGATCCAGGCAGGTCCTTATCCTCCGGAAGCTCAGCAAACGCATTGCCCAGTGTAATTCATGATGCTTAGCTTCTTTAAACCAATGGTCGTACAGTATTAAGACTCTAAATTATCTCATGTCCACCTCTCACTAGTCATCGTTGCAGTGAAGGGAGGCTTTCCTTGATTTCCCTTATTATATACATTCCCGACTTCTTTCCATCTCTCTTCTGTAGTCAGCTCCAATTCTTTGTGTGCAAATCTCACCAGTCCAGGTTCTTGATGCAGAAGTCTTCAGGCACACCATCATCGTGAGGCCCTTCCTTGTAAGGTGGGTTGTCCTGCCATCCAATGGCAGAGTGCCATTCGCATGGCTAACTTTGAACCCTTTTTTTGCAAGTTAGTTCTTCACAGTCGAAAAAGCACCCGCGGCCCACAGTCCAGAAATCGAGGTACTACAGCCTGGGCAAATGGCACATGTATTTTCCGGATTCTACAGAATCAGAATCTCAACCAAACTCAACGGCAGTTCAGGCCCCCCGGGCAAACCCATTAATAGCTTTTGCTATGTAGTCAGCAAGCAGTCTCACTCTTGGTGCCTGCCACCCTGGAGCTCATGTGATCATTGGCACTTATCGGCGACATGTGATCTGAGATCTACTCTGACGGGTTTACTTGTGCTTTTTATAAAGACATCAACAATCGTGCTGTACATGATACAGAAAAGGCTTGAAATGAGTTTCAGGCCCCACAAGTCTGGGATGACCTCAATCATCAGCTGAGAATGCAAATGTTGCATCTTGGTTCATGAAAACGCTCAGGCTGTCTTTCTTGTTTTGTCCTTCAGGTCATGTTCATGTATGCCGCAATGTAATGTGACTAAGAACTGTAAGAACGAAAGGGTGGCCCAGCACAAATACACGCACAAACAGGTGATCTTCTGTATTCCGCGTGGGCCGCAACAATTTGTAGAACCAGCACAAATATGTCGTCACACGTAGGATCTTGAAGACAGGTTGTGCGGGCAACAGCCAAGTTGTGCATCAAAACATCAGCCCGAGCAAAACTGAACCATGCGTAGCCCTGTGTTACCGCTACTTTCAAAAGGAAGTGCCTCTGAAAGTAGATGTATATATCTCTTTTGAGTCTTGTTGCTTAGCTCATGCCCATGTGTTGTCCGGCTTCTGGCCCGCCGGTCTAATCTGCTTGGTTGGTACAATTGGCAGTTGTGAGGCACATTGGCTGCTGGGGACCTGGAAACAAAAACAAAGAATTGATTCTGAGAGGCTCAAATTATGACAAATGCTCAAAGTGTCTGGTATGCCGCTCAGTATGCTTATATAAACTGTTCAATATGTCAAACTGCAAAAGGAATCTTGTCCGCTCAGAGCGGGGCAATTATTGCCACCTCGTTGTTTTGTGTCCCAACCTTAGCATGGCATGCCACACAGTTGTGTTGATATGGTATGCAAAGAGGCACACCAAGGAATGCAGCTGGGAATGATGCGTGATAAAGTGTCAAGTCTTCGAACTTGGTTTCCTGGGCAAAGCAAACATGCTGTAAGTGGAACCCAGAACGCAAACACCCTGTTCGCAATGAACACAGAAAGCTAAGAATAGTACAAAGCACTCTAGCAGCACGATCTCAGGTGCACACCTCTCCCTGGGGACTTTGTGATTCTTCCTTGGTCGTACAGTGTTCACACATATCACATATCTGTGTGTTCATGGTTTTCTGTGTTTTCGGTATTTTGGCGGATGGCTCATTCTTCCGCATCTCCGTGCCTTCCAGCTCCACGCTGCAGAACATGCTTTGCTTTGAGCGTCTGTAGGGTGAGATTCCGTCTCCCCTCTGCCAACGGCACCAAGGGCATAAATGCCATGGTGTGGTGTTCTCCACTGTTGAAAGTATGCTTCCAAGCTTCTGCTTCAAAATCCCACTTCATGGTGAAACCTTTGCTTGCAAAGCCGCACTCGTCACGACGCTCTGGCAACTTCAAGAGTTAATTTATGAGAAACTGTGGACTGTAGTGACGGGGAATCATGAGAGTCAATCTAGAACACTGACAAACACACTCCAAAGGCATAAATTCAACTTTCAACATTTAAATTCACACATCTTCAATCCCAACCTGTAGGTGCTCCTGGAGGCCCAGGTCTGGCGTGTCTTGAAAATCCCGGTGAATCACATGAATTTGCTCTTTGGGGTCCAAAAGGTGCATTCCATGATTCCATGCCCATGAGATGCATTTCCATGGACTGTGGAGACCTGATCCAGAAACTTGCCAGACATACTCCTCTACCTCTGCATCTTGCTCATTGGGCTCCTGAAAAGGCAGGCAAACCTATGACAAACCCAAAGTTAAGTGTGCTTGTGCTCTCAAGACCCTAACTTGCGGAGGTTGAACTCTCTTTCAGGATGCCATTTGCCATTTTGCCGTGCTATTGCGTCTTGTCATTCTTGGGCCCGATCCTCCTCACCCCCTTCTTGCCCTTCCTGATCTTCCTTTGTGGCATCAACATGCATCAAGGGTCTGATATTCTGAAGAGAGAATTGTTTAAGATAGCATGTCAATATGTTTGCTTCTACATGAATCTGACCTAACAGGATAGCTGAAGTATGCTATACAAACTGATGAAGGTTGAACAAAAGGTGTGAAAGGCATGAAGCAAAGCCTGGGTGCATGCAAGCCAGGCCCACCGTGACAAGTTTGCTCTGTTCAGGCCTATTGCATTGCCTTGCTGTTTCCCATCACGCATCATGTCCCTCATTCTCAAAAGTCTTATGATTTTATCTAGACTACAGCTATCCAAAGTGGCACGACTGGCAGGCAGCAACTGAATGCAAGTGATACATATTCCTCAGGCCTCTCCCTCCGCATCACTGGGCCCAAAAATCTCCTCGCAATCCAGGATCCACACAAAATGGAGGCAACCAAAGCTCTTAAATGCTCCGGCAGAAGAATGCTAAACAGGAAAAAGGAGAGCGTGCTTGCTGAAGAAACTAAGCTTAGCCCAGCTCTGCCCTGATTTGCATGGCCATTTTTTTGCCAAGACTCATCAGGCGACTTTACTTTGCTTTCCTGCAGCTTCCCAAGCATGACAAAGCAGAGCTGTAGGCTGAAGCGGGCGAGTGCTACCAAAACTAAACGACAAAAGCAACAAACTGGTAGACTACAGAATCTACAGACTACTGTTGAAATGCGCACTGCTAGACTTGCTGGACTGCTTCATTACCACAACCACCACTGCTTCCCTCTTTGAAGCATTTACATGAGTTTGAACTTGCACGAGTCAGGATGCAAGAGCAGCTCTGGGACACCGTTGTCTTAAGACGTCGTCTAAAGTCATGTCACATCTTGGACAACCACAGGCCTTGCTCCCTTTTCGTTCTTTGTCATCTGTGACCTCCTTGCCCTTGTCACGTCTCCTGTGCTCCTCACCACCACAGGAACCTCAATGATATCCTTCTTTGCAACAAGTGGAAAAGTAGTCTGGGTAAGGTGTGCAGTTCTGAAGTTGATGAGATTTGCCAAATTTCATGGTAATTGAAAGGTACAGTAAGATTTAGATCTGTGTATTTGTTCCTGCCTTCTTCGGAGCATCCTGTCGCTGTGCCTCATCCTCCTGGGCTGGCTGGACACGCATTGGCCCTTATAGGTCATGGTCCAAAGATTGACGCGAGACTCTGGACACATGCCAGGGGTGCCTTTTTGGCATATGGCAGTGGGTCAAAACTGCGACACACCCTGGTTGACTACCGAACATGCACAGAATAGACTACTAGGGAGGTCAACCTACCGGGGACTAAGGGGTCCCGGTTTTGACCCACAGTCATATCTCCTTACATTGTCTTCAAGATTGCTCATCTATTCGATGGTTGCAATCCTCCAGCTGCGCAAGGGCTTCGGCTGTCAGCTTCCCCTGAAGTAAGAAAATACCAAGCAGAACTTAAACAGTAAGAGCAAAGCAAATCAATAAGTGTTTTTGTGCGTGTGTTTAACACATTTTTCATGTTGACTGACTTGTCACCACGCCGCATCTCGGGTGAACTTGCTATTGCTATGCTCCCTTCTCTTGATCCACACCTCATCAGCCATGCTTCAGCCTGTGGCCAGATCCCATGATTGGCAAGCAAAGGAAAAAGAAACTCAATGAGCAAACAGCTGGCCTTGGAAGCTTGGATGCTCGGAGGCGTGACAGCTGCAGAGTTGGCACATGTCGTCGGACATGCTGGGCAAGACTGTGAATAAAACACTAGCGATACTCTTCGCCCAACAACGATTGTCGTAATTCTGGCATGTGTGCGGCGCCAACTAGCCACGCAGCTTAATGAGGGACTGTTTGGCGATCAGGACGACTCAACTGAACTCCCGTGTGATGTGTTGGTTCTCTTCAAAGCTTGGGATCTATTGGGCGAGAGTGAACGAATGGCATCAAACTTAATGATGGGTGGGACGAGTGAACTTGATCAACACAAATCAGCAGCACAAGTCTTTTGTGTCTGCAAGCATGTGCTTGCTAGATTTTAAAAATGCCAATGTATGGAACTGTTCGAGCTTGATAAGGGCGGCGAGCTCTAGTGCCCAGGTTGTCTACGGGCCTCGGCTTTTCTTTGGCATAGCCAGCATATATAGTCCCAAAAAAGCATCAAACGATTGCCAAAGATACCCGAAAACAGCGTCTGCGTGCCACGTACTCAACGCGGACGCTACTCGTCTACAATGGCAAACTGGAAAGGTGCACCTCCAAGAGGGACTTCAAAGCTCCATAGCTAATGTCGGAGTCAATGTCATCGAGCTGCCTACAAAAGAGCTTTTTAAGGTGGCATCTTGGTGGAGAGTCTGGTGGAGTGTATGGACTTGCTCTATGCAAGAAAATAAACCTCTGACAGTCAGACATTCATCTGCTAGGTCTATTCTGACCGTAATCAGCCGGGTGGACGAATCAAGAGACCACATCACCACATGATACCTGGATCAAACAGCCAACAGTCAACAGACTTCAGTCTTCCCTTCAGAACTTCTGCATATAAAATGTAATAACAAGAAGAGATTAGAAAAAAAAAGAGACCGTAACGACCACAATGGCCTTTTTGTTCATCTCTATTGCTTTTTTCGGTGCTACATGGTGCTGCACTTTGGCTTAGCTCCCTGCCGATGCATTCCCTTCTCCGGACAAGGTGGCTCCATTCCCCGGTCACCTCTACCTCGTTACAGCCGCACTATCCCAAGATGATCCAAAATGAAGACAGGGAAGTTGGATGAAATTGGGCACATAGGAGGCCAAAGGCAGCTGCTTCACTTACTTCCCACCCCTTCATCTCCAAGATTCCTCTCCTTTCCAACAATAGACTTTGTGTCAGTGTCCCAGCTTTGCTGAAATGTTACAACCCATCCAAGCTTCACGCTGTTCCGGCCCACAACCATGGTTGGAGCAAACTGGCAGTATACTCAAATAGACTCAATCAATGCTTCCATTGCACATTTGTACAAATGGCTTGAGACACATGCATCAATGGATCAAATCTGCAACTGCTTGCAAAACTGCACGCAAAACAATCCTTGCACATGGCTGGAGTGCCTCACTCAACTCAACCACCGCGGTTTCATTAATCGCCATCCAGTCACCCGGAATGTTTGCAACCCTGGCACTGTTTGACTCAAGCAAATTCGATTCATACAGGTGCGCATGTATGACACGTACATCTATATACACATAGTTAGGCTACTCAGGATTTTAGGCTGACGTTACTGCAAATTGGGAATTGGAACTCCAAAAGATTCCTTAAACCAACCTGAAGAGATAGCATCACATGGTGAACCCTCCCCAAACAAACAACTCTCGCCTGTGCAAACAGGGCAGGGTGGCCAGAAAATATTATGCACAACGTTGTCGGGTGAGCCCATGCCATTTGGATAGTCCAGATCCTTTGCCCAACGTGCTACGAGGCTAATCTGAAGTAGAAAACGCGCTGTGCCTCGATTGTCAACGCGAAAGCCTGGCAGGAGCGGCACTTCTGGCCGTCCTGACGAAACGCAAAGACTTTTGGGAGGTGAACACAAAAGCGTCCTTGTTACTAGTAGTACGGCCAGGAGCCCCTAGTAGCTTCTTGCTCCTAGTAGTAAGGCCAGGAGCCCCTAGTAGCGTTCTTGTTACTAGTAGTACGGCCAGGAGCCCCTAGTAGCTTCTTGCTCCTAGTAGTAAGGCCAGGAGCCCCTAGTAGCGTCCTTGTTGCTAGTAGCGATGCCCTTTGTTCCTAGTTGCTTCTTGTTACTAGTTGGAACATCTGGGAAGCATTGATCTTTTAGGTCCAAAATTGTGAGAGGAAATGAACACTGCATGCGTGAAACAATGCCAAGACTACTTACAGGTTCTCTCATGTTCTCTTCCGTTTTGTTGTTCTGGACAGCTCTTTTCCTCTGCGCAAGGCAAGGTCAAGATCTGAACCCTGTAGGGTAGCTCTGTTGCTCGCAAGGCAGAGGAACGATGACTAACGCCACAAAACCACCAAGGTTCAACTCCCTGCAGCCTCCTTTCCTGAAAAGGACTTTGTTCAAGCCCATAACATTAGGGAGTGAGTGAGTGGACCTCCTTCAAAAAGTTGTATGGACTTGGTGGGCAAACGGACTTGACCTTGATTGCTTGGACTACTGACTACTGAGCACGCGTTTCACGATGCAATGCCAAACTTCTTTTGCATCTGACAGGGACAGCTTGATGCCAAAAATATTCACAGAAGGCACACTGTTCAAGCACAACAGCAAGCAAGTTAATAAGCTATTGAAACCCACCTTTCCAGGAAGTTTTCTCCGCACAATCAAACCTCAAATTCAAATTGCCAGAATGTTGGGATAACAGTTTTTGTGAACACTGACACTATGTCAATTTTAATTTCAAAAAACTTTTATGAACATGTTCCGATTCCTATTGCTTCATGTACGCTAGGAACGTGATTTGCTCAGTGCAGCTCTCATGGTTAAGTTAAGTTCCCTAAACATCTAGCAACCAAATCATTGATGCGTGCGTCACGGCCTCAAAAAAAACAATGAAAACAAAAACATTGCCATCAACTTGGCTAAGGAACCCAAAGGCTTCAGCGGCGACCGAGTCTTGTATCCCGTGCGTAAAATACCCCACGGAGACACCGGTGGCCTGAACATGCAAAGGCTGCACCCGTCAAGTTCTGTAATGTTGAATGAGTCTTTGTACAATCGAAAGAGAATGTCTAGTGTTGAATCGAAGGAGAGGCCTTTTCGTGTGCTTTGCACTTGTGCCACCACCATGAGGATGAGTGTGCCTGAGACACGAGAAACAAGATTTGTCTAGATTTGAGGACAGGGGCCTTCTAATGAGTTCTAGTACTCCTGGTTTTATTTGCACATGGCGTGGCAATGGCATTCTATTTTCATACCTTTCTTCGACAGAAATGAGAATGCTAACGGTTGGACGTAAGGTCTGTGGAGTTGAGGTTAAGCCGGAGATGTGCTAGTAGCAAGGACGCTACTAGTAGCTCCTGGCATAGCTACTAGGAGCAAGGACGCTAGACTGGATGTGGACTGCATCCTGGGCTCACAGGCGGGTCCATTGCAGTCCCTCGCACGGATGGCCGCCAACCCAACCAGCGATTGATGCCAGCTTTGCCTCAGAAATCCCATGTGAGGCCTAACTTCACAAGAATACAAGAGAAACAAACATAATAGTTATACAGTTATACTGTTATACTAGAGTGTATATACACAGTATCAGTTTGTCCTTTCATAATACTATCATGCCATAAACTGTCATATCTGTACATGCCCTTCTTAGATCTTCCACTAACTAAGCTGAGAGCCTTTGAAACGCATGGCCCGCTCCAAATGCGAAAGCTGTCCTATTGATGCCCTGTCATGCAGCAGGTGTTCCAGTGCTGCACACTGCATCCAGATCTCAAGTGACTTTCTGTGGATGTACTTGTTTGTACTAATAAATGTATATATTTACTTCCATCAATGAAAAATATGAAAAATACATAAAAATACAAAGTGTCGAGCACTTGTGCACATAAGTGCAAAATAGTGCAAGTGTTCATCAAAAATCACCATAAACAGCCAGTGCTGCCAGCATTCCAATGGGAACTTTCGGATCTCTGTGGACCGCAGCTTGATTGTGGCGTATTGTCGGTCCTCTGGGCGATGTGGCTCTGCTCTCAACTTGCTTGGTGCGTCGAACGAACACCTTTCGTCCTCTCTCCTTCGTGACAATGGTCGCAAAGGTGCCCGCAGCGCGAATGAACCTACACTGAAAAACTGCGCCCAAAGTTCCAGAGCAACCGGCAGATTGGCAAAGAATGCAAACCACAGCATTGCAACCATAGCAAATCAAATGCTCGGATCTGATGGGACAAGAAGTATTCATCTTGTGAGAAGCAAATCTTGAACATGAGGAATGAGGATGTCTGTTTTTGCTTTGTCTTAACAAAGGAGTCTTAGCATCGGGCTGGCCGCCAGCGCCTCACATCAACGCCCCACACAGAAGCACCGTGTGCTTCGTCCGAAAGGGAACAAAATGGAATGCAAAACGGAAGGGGTCAAGATATGTCAAGAAACCTGAAGATGATCCATCAAACATCATTGCGGACCCGATGATGGAAGGAACTGCTGAGAGAGAAAATCAACAGAAAACCTTCAAGATCCCTTCAACGAAGCAACTGGGTCTTCTGGTTGACTTGTATAGCCTAGACCAAGGCCTGGTCGCAGCTCAATGTTGTGAATGATCGAACCAACGGGAATGTTCCTGAAACAGTGAATTCGAGCGTGCATCCTCTGGATGAACCGTACACTTGAAACCCATACTGCCCATACTGAATGCGTTGATTACAAATGGAGGTTAGCTGTGCGTTCACCAGCTTTGCCTCAGTGGTAGGCAGTTTCCTGGTACAATGTTGGCAGCCTCGCTTGCTACGACCTCCGGCTCAAACAGCACTCGGGGATGCAAAAAAGTATTAAAAAATGCTTGAAATGCCACAGCTATGTACAGCAGCTTTGGTCAGCTAACACTTATATATATCTATATATATATGTATAGTGAGCCGACCAATCCTAAAAATTAGAGACCGAAAGGTATTGGGAAACCGCTTCTGTTGGGGAGCACTGCAGAGTTGTTGTATCTAGCGGAAACTTGGAGTGCAAAAGCTTGATTTTAGCGTCCAAAAGGCACCAATTTCAGTGCCTGGTCACCAGGCCGGAGCGTCAGCGGAGCCAGGATGTAGCTCAAAACCCCATCCTGTCACCAACCCCTCCAAAGCGGCACAGGAATTTTCACTCAGGCGCAGCCTATCGCTGTGACTGCAGGCCTCGCTGCAAAGTTGCTAACAAGTACTTATGGCTGGGCCATGACAATATCACTTCTTGAAGAACCTGTACAGGCTGCCGTTTGTTTTGGTGTTTGGTGTTTGCAGCGTTGACTTGCAGTGGTTAGCACTTGCACGTACCACCTCCATCGCAACACCGACTTTGAGAGACTTCCGGAACCTGCACTGCTCACGTTCCCAATCCCGCCTGATACTGGATCAGTGCAATGTGAGATGTACGCTCTGGGGAGTACTCAATGCGCAACACTGTGGCAGGAATATCCTGACAGCATGTGCTCCTCTTTTTAAGATGCCTGTTTTCAACATTCTAGTTTCTAACGGCTTCTTGGCTCAAGTGAAGTATGTTCATTTGTCAAGTGCAGTGGTCCAAAATGCAACAACTGTTCAGTGCAAGGGTCCTTGCGAGCACGCTTAAAATCTACAAAGCGAAGCCGCTGCATAGTGCCACCCTCCCGGTGTCGGGTAGTAATCCTGGACGAAGCAAACAAGGCACAAGGGCACGGAGTCAGGGCACGGAGTAGTCTGGAATCATCTTTAGCAGAAGACGTAACAGACGGAATGTGTCACGACCAAGTCAGTTCAGAGCTTTTTTCCAGGGTTTTTATAAGCACTGCTAGTTCAAGTTGCACACTGTGATGAGTCTTAAGTCTCTTGCTTGAGATTGACTTGTTTTGCTCTACAAAGCTGATTTACCAATGAATTACTCTGCCAACTTAGACTTCCTTTGCAATGGACTGCTTCTTTAATACTTTTGCACCGTATGTTTAAACACCTTGGGTTCCTGATTTCCCGTCCCCAAAACTCAGCGTGTTGCATGACCTTTCCACTTGAGACTTCTCACCTACTCTTTGAAGCATCATTCATCGACCTAGTTCCACAAATACAGTAAAATGGATGCTGCATAGTGATGGTTGGATGTGGTTCTCTTCTTTCTCTTTTCCCTAACAACTGCTGACTGGTGTTGAAACTGCGTCCCTCTCCCTCTGTATACGGGTCTTGGTTTCCATGTTGCTTGTCATGGACAAGGTGCAAGGTATCTGAATGGTGGTGACCCTAATGTCTGACCAGTACAATATGTATGTCATGATGCTGTGCTTGGCCCTTCACCATTGCTCGCATATCCCAAGAGCATTGTGTAAAGCCCGTCCTTCCGACGTCATTCCGGCCCGCGTGACGTATTCTTCTGGTCGAAAGCTGCTTTATGACCTCTACAGCTTGTCTGAACGAATCTTACGACGGGTTCCACCTTCGAGGCCGCGAGTTGTAAGGAAGATTTCGATCTCTGCAATCTAACTGGTGTTGCATGTACTTCTGTGGGTCATATGTTTTACTATTTTGTGCATAGATCAGAGTGCGTTGCACATGTCGGACACAGTTTCACAGTGAGCGTCGGATGCGAGTGATACTATGAGTTGTAAGAAGTAAACCAAGTAAACAGGTAGTCTACCTGTCAAATTCCAATCTGTATGGCCACAGAGAAGAACTCTCAGGTAGTGGCACGACCGCGGAAAGTCTTCTGCGGAGTGGCCTGGCAAAGGCCCTGTTCCCAAACACCATGAAGCAAAAACAGATCTTCTTCGTCCCCGTCTCCGTCTTCGTCTTCTTCATCATCTTCTATTTTTCCTCTGATCCTCTTCTTGTTTTCTTCTTCTCCTTCGTCTTCTATTCTTCCTCTTTCAGGCTAAAAAGAAATGGCTTCTTTGTGCAAGAAAAACTTGTAAAAGGATGTTGCTTGGCTGCGCTCTTTCCAAGCATGGTAGATCAGCCGCACCCTGTGATCCTTGGTCTCTGATAAGTTCAACTCGAAACCCGCCTCTAAGAGCTTTTCCAGCTTCTGCTGCTTTGCCTCAGCAAACACCAGGAATTTAGACTACCTTCTATTATTCATTGAAAATTGCTTCAACAGGTGTGATTGTCCTGCATGTGTTCTTTGAAAGAAGGGTAAGAAGTAAGAAACATAGGCTCCAAAGTGCTTGTGGGTTGAGGCTTGTTGCCCCCCATTTTTACCAGTCAATCATCAACCTAAGTTGTGGTACGCCCAATTCAAGGGTGTGTATATACAGAACATTGCAGGCTGAGATCTGCACGAGAGTAAACGCAGCGACTACGGTCTGCTTTGGAGGATCTGACTTTGGAAAACCTGCGATGTGGCAATTGATCTCCAAGGAGCAGTGGAGAGAATCGGGATGAATCAGGCAGGCTTTATCAGTACGTTCGCGCCAAAACTGGCGCTATCTATCTTACTCATTCTGAATGCTGGAATTGTCTGGGAGGAGCTTAACCTCTCAAGGAGGACATATCCGACTCGCTACAATTACAAAGCATTCTGATTCTCCTGCAAAAAAGTCGTTCATGCTGCCTTTCACACGAGCACTGCAGTGGGAAATGTAGGTATCAATGGCAGGATTGGTCAAACAAGCACATCGCACCTGTTTCAAAGTCAATGTAGGGAGGACGATTGCGCTTCATGATGCGAGAGTAAGATCCTGAAAACCTCAGTTTCGGCATTGGCTGTTGAGGAATTCTGTGCCGATTTTGCCCGGAGAAAAGAGGCTGCACTCTCTGAGCACACTCTGGTGCAAACTAAGAAGTGCACCTGCACATACTGTTTGAAGTCAGCCCATCTGGATGCCTAGCCACTTTCCAAACTGAATGCTCAAGCAGCCATCGGCATTGCCCGTTCTGCAAGATAAATAACCAATCTTTCTCATGGAGTGTGAGGCTGCGTATATTTTATAATCTGAAGTCCACAAATAAATCAAGCCAAGACCAAATTGGCCTTGTGAGCAGAGGTGCTCCAGGCCCTAGACTCGGCCTGGCGATACGGAAGAACAATGCACATCTAGCAGTCTAGCACAGAAAAAAAAGAGAATGCAGAATTTGAAACTGTGTCTCTCCAGGTAGATCGTCCTGCCTATTCAATGCGATCCTGAAGCGTCCGCACCACATCTGCCTGCGGCTGCCATTCCAAATTCTGTGGCTCAACATCGAGGCCAAAATGCGTTGCACGTGTTCTGAGCGAAAGTGCAACAATCTACAAACTGGAGTACGGCCACGCAAAAAGCAACCGACTGGCAAACTTGTGATGGACCTGCGGTATGGACTGCACGTCTCAGGAGAGGAAGATCTGGAACAGTGGGTACAACGTCTTGATTCGGTTGTTTGCCGTTGTGAGCTGAAACCATGGTCCGGCTTGCAAGGTGAAGGTATCCTGCTTCACAAAGCTGTCTTTCCAAATCTATTGGTCGCGCTTGAATCAAGAACTGAGCTGACAACTCACAGCAAGTAGTTGACAGAATAACATGTTGCTTTCAAAGGGAATATATAATATTAATATATAGTAGAAGGTTTGGGGAAGAAATAATGAGTGCTGCATCGTGCTGCTATCCACAGATTGCACAGTGTTGCCAATCTCGCTAATTAACATCACAAACATGATGTGTGTCCCCTTTTGCGGCTCAAGCCGCAGCTGTGGAGCCACATGGCAGCATGTCCAGGTATGGCCGCATGAAAGACCGCAACAACTATGTAATTCTTTTTTTAGCCCGCTCCCCCGCCTCCCTACTTAATTAAGTAAGGGAGAAGCAAGCTACTGGGAACTTGTTCGCTCCTAGCTACTGGACGCAGGATAGCTCACGCTTATTCAAGGAAGCTCCCCCCCGCCTGAGGGCGGGGGGAGCTTCCTTAAAGAAGCGCTCGCACTAATCATTTGGTTCCTAGCCAAATATTCAAAGTGCTGCGCAGTATGCTTGCATGGTCATTCATGTACATGACAAGATCAGATCCAAATGTTGGTGCAACGTGATTCTATCAAACAATTATATATATATATATATATACTCTACTAGCTCCTCTTGTGATGTCATTTCACACGCATGCGATTCGCCCAAAGTCCTTTGGCCCTCCCCAATGGAACTCCGGAA